ATATGTTGCAGGTAGTGAATAATTCCTAATTAGAAAGATGGGGTGTTAAACTAATTTAGATACCCATATTAAGGCCTCTGAAAACCAACATGAAAAAAAATGATCAATTTTCTGTTCATAAATGTTATACAGGTAGTCCTCAACTTACAACTGTTCATTTAGTGACCATTCAAAGTTACAATGAGAAAAATGACTTATGACTGTTTTTCAGACTTAAGATTGTTGAAGCATCCCCACAGTCATGTGATCAAAACTTAGACACTTGGCAACTGACTCATATTTATGATGGTTGCAATGTCCCAGGGACATGTGATCACCGGTTGTGATCTTCTGACAAAGTCAATAGGGAAGCCAGATTCACTTAACAACTATGTTAACTAACTTAACAACAGCAGTGATTCATTTAACAACCATGGCAAGAAAGGTCATAACATGGGGTAAAATTCACTTAACAAATGTTTTGCTTAGCAACAGAAATTTTGGACTCAGTTGTGGTCAAGGACTACCTGAATAACAAAAGTGCACCTGTGTTTTATAACTGTGAAACTTGATTATGCCTAGTAACCTCTGATGTACACTAAGATACAACTTTCACCTCACCCAGTATCTTCCTTATGCTGTGATTTTATAATTTGCATCTTACTATTTAATTCAGAAGTAGACAATTTAATAATTAAGGATACTGAAGGCTGAAAAAATAGAAGTGGTGTTTTTGACTTCTAGCAATCACATAGACTTTCTTCATGAAAAAAAACCTCTGTAGAATCCTATACAATCTAAAATCTCTATAAAACTTTGATGGAAAAATACCATATTCAATTTGGGTAGGTTACAGCTGTATATTAGAACAATTACCAGGCACTAGATGGCACTGAGTACTTGATCACAGAATAATGCTAGACTCCAAGTTTAAAAAAAAATCCTGGGAAAAAGTGATAAATTTAAACAAGATCATAAAAGGATAAGGATATTTCTGTGACAAAAATGCTCAGAATATCTAAGCAATAGCCTTTTAAGCAATAATGTTTGAAAATATTGAGAATAATAGAAGGAAGGGAAACCCTTTCAAATTTAGAGACAGATACCAAGAATACCATGGATTAGAAAAAGAATAATTTGTTTGGAGGAAATTAAAATTGACTGCTTATTTGATGTGAACAGTAAGCAGACATTTGGATATATAATCAAAGAAGATAAGTCTAGAAAGTAGTAATAGTATTTACATATTTGGTCAATAACTAGCAAAACATTGGCCTAGAAAAAGATTGGCAAATTTGAAAGAAGTAAATGAACAGGTGAAACACAGGAAAGGTCAGAGAGATTACTAGATTATCCTTTAAAGAACTGAAGATTTTCCTGGGAAACTGGTTGATGAAAGCATTTATCTGACAGAGATTGGTCTAACTTGATGGCTGCATGGATATTTGCTTAAAACATAAATGTAGAACAATATAGAAGTGCTGAATTTATAATAAATGTATAATGATAATTTTGCAAAAGAAAAATTATGGCATTGCTTGTCAAATTACCACCCTCTCCATGCTTTCTCAAGTGCTAGACTATTTTAGATTTTTCCTGAATCAGTATATTTTTGAAGGAATTTATACTGAAATTCACTTTCCCCCACATAGCATTCATTTATCTACAAATCTATAGATTATGTGTGAGAAAACAAGCAAGCACTTAGCACTGCTAATCTCTCTAAGACCATTAATTTCCAAAACAGGAGCTTGCTGAAATCTAATCTGTCATCATAGCCACAATAAAACCACACAAACTGTTTATTTCCAGCTGACATGTAATTGGTAATGATTTCAGTCATCAAAAACCTTTGAAGCATAGTACGTGGGCAGGATTTTTCAAACTTTTTCAGGTCATTCAAATCAAAAGTGCCTTAAAACTTATTTTGTTGAAATATGACAAATGTCAGATTTGTTATGTGTAGATTGAATAACAAGTACAGTCATGCTTCCAAAGTTATAGACTGCCAGCAGATGGAAATAGTGATGCATTAAAAAAACTGGTGTGTTCCTTAGCATCTTTCTGTCACTTTAGTTGGGAATAAACTATTGTAGAAAAAGATTGCATTATTTGTAAAATGGAAGCCTGCAGTAAATTTTGAGCAATGTGCTTTAAGCATTGTGCCATGATTGAATTTTGATTGTCGAAAGAGTCCCTCCAATTGAAATTTGCTGCTGAATCATGTTGTTTCTCTAATTACTACTTTGATGTTAAGAACTGTGTACTCCTTGGTCAAAAAATGGAAAGATGGTGGACCTGGAAGAGCTTGTTGTGTGATCAAGAATGAAGTGAACAACCTGTGACAGTAACTGACAAGTTTCATGTCAGAAAGGTTGATGAACAGATTAAGTGACAGATAACTTCAAGAGAAACTGCTGTCAAGCTTGGCATTTCACTGGAAGATAGGAGTTACATTACTGATATTCAATATTGAAAAATTTATGCAAAATACGTTCTTTGCATGCCAGCACCAGATGTAGCAAATGGTATTAATTACGTAAAGAAGAAAATTCAGATAACAAAAGAAATCATTTCAAGAATTATTGTCTTTTTAAAAATTTATTATAATATCATTTAAACTAAAGTTATAGAGATAGAGGATTATTTTTAATTGAACCCTAATAAATTTGACCCTGTTTAGCATTTTGGAATCATCCAAGGTGCGTCTGATGCAATACTGTAAATAATTTTAAAGTAATTTATCCACATAGATTTGTACATATTTACATAGATTTAAAGAACACCCAATTCTGGACTTTTTACATAAAGTCAGAAAAATAAAAGACCAGACTATATGGACCTTTGGGGGATATTATTTCAGGGTGTAGGAACTATGTCCAAGAAGAAGCTACACTAAATATGTTGATTAAAAAAAAGCACGATCGATGCCAGCTCAGTACTGTGTCCTGGCTTGAAACCCAACAAGAATAGATCCAGATCATCTATTTCCTTCAGGATACTCTGGAACTGTTACATCACAAATTTTTCAACAATCATCCCTAAAAAGAAAGATTGGAAACTGGACAACAAGTGTTCAGAATGATGGCTTCTTAAGGAGGGAACATGCTATTATGTCCTTCAGAGTCACAGGAACCACCCCATTTCTCAAAGAAGCTAATGGATTCAACCACGTCACCTCCCTAGTAGTTTTAACCACCCAGGAAGGGCCTAGCTTTAACAGTTTCCCAGCTTGCAATCTGAAAGACCTGTCCAGTTAATCAGCATAAAAATTAAAAAGAGCAGCAAGCATAAATATTCCTTATTCTACTTAAAATAAATTATATACCTCTTTCAACTGATATTTTATTAGTTTTACCAGTTTTAGTAGTAATCCATAACATACATAATATAGTTTTTATAATTGTTTCCCATTACCTATATGTTATCTTTCTCTTTTCCAATGGCAATTAGATTAATTATGTTGGATTAGTAAACTGGGTTAAAGTAATGTAGATAACAGAAGTACTCTGCACTTTGGCCATATTTGAGAAAGTTTGTTTTCAGGAAGACTGAAATTGATATTAAAAAATTCATAGTTGTTTAAATTTAGTTTAACCGTACAGAAAAAAAAAAACAATTATAAAACTTGTACAAAATTAATTCAGTTCTAATCTTATTTTCTTTATAAGCATCTTTATAAGATGCTAAGACAAAGACTGTAGAGAAATATGTCTGACCTGGGGACTTGATGGCACAGGGGCTTAATGATGCTGAAATTGCCTGCTAGAAATGATCTGCACTCCAGCAGTTCGAGCCTAGCTCCAGAGACAGCGGGAGCTCCTGTCACTCATTCCCTAGCTCCTACCCACCCAGCAGTTTCAAAGCAAGCAATACCGCAAATAGATAAATGGGTACCGCTTTGGTGGGGAAAATCTTGCTGCGTTCATGCGTGTGCAGAGAGGCGAAGCTGGTGCTGGGCTTGGCCAAACACAAGGTAACATAACACATGAGGTGAGGTGAGACTGGTGGAGGAGCCAGCAAGCTGAGCTCTGTTAGTCAGCTGGTGTAAGCTAGTTTGCTCCCTTTGGTGCATCAAGGATAGGCATGCAAGTGCTGAACAGAATAAACTAGCAATTAAGGTTGTCAGGACTGCATTGTGTCTAGCATTTATAGATTTCCCTGACATTGTATACCATACAATAAATAAATAAATGTCTGACCTTTCTGCTATTACTTTGCAGACATGAAGCATCCTACAATTTAACATACCTCCAGCTCTCTGATTGTGTATTTAGAATGCATTTAAATAAACTGCCGCACAAGAGTTAATTACTAGTTAGCAGTCAGGCAGATCTATTATGATTGTAAAAAAAGTAAATTACAACTGAAAACGACCTGTACTATCTAAGAGTGGTCTCCTTTAAATTAAATTACTGTTTCTTAAGTCTACAGATCTACAGATTCCCATATTATCATTTAAAAATAAATTTATAATTTCAGAAGTCAATTTTAAACATTTGTTAAAATGTACAGTGTACATAATGCTCTTAATGAGAGTAGTACAATGCATTTCTTACCAAGTTACAATTTATTAGTCAACTGAATTCACAACTGGCTTCAAAACCATAATATTTACTCAGTGTATATATTTATCTTCTAGGGCTATTTGACTTTTTAGTGGGCTTTCCCATCCTTGTCAATTATTGCAAGCAAATGTGGTCAGAAGCTTCAATTTGCTCAGCATGTGGACAGGTTAATATGGTATTTGGCTATGAATTAAATGAAGACTCTCTTAAGTTTCACTGTAGTTAATTTATTAGGTTAATTTAATAGAAAGTATTTGGATCTGGGAGGGGCCAGTTTGTTTCGTTACTATTAGAACAGCATAAAATGAAAACAAAAGCCTCTTCCTGTCCTTTTCCGAGGACCAATTCTCCTTCCTCCCAAGCCTGCCCTTTCTTCTATAGTCTTAAAGACTGACCAAGGCCTGCGGTTGCGCGTCAACAGGGAGACGCGCAGTGGGGCGCAGGGCGCTTGCGCAGTTCTCTTCCTCCCCCCCCCCACACACATGCTGTTGCTGCTGGTGGAGGCTGAACTTCATCTGCGTGGTGTCTCCCTGAACCACGTTCCGGGTTGCGTCGTAAGAGTCGCTGTGAGGTGGGAGCTCTTGTTCCCTTTCTTCGGGCTGACCTGTCCGTCCTTCCTCGCCCTGCGTGGCTTGTGTTTGAACTCCTTCGGGGAAGACGAGAGGTAAAAACATCTTCTCGCCATGGAGGACTTCCGCGCGAGTGCTGGGAATATTCCAGTATACTAGCTCTCCCCAATAGAGCCCTTAATCCGTAATAATCAGGGCGGCCATCTGGAAGACACCTCGATTGGGGAGGCTACTGCCGCCCCTTCGCGTGGCCTGGATGTTTCCGCCTCTCCCCCCTTTCCTCCTGTTAGGTACTTCCAGGCCCCCTCGGAGGGAAATACTTAATACCTTGCAGGTATATGCTTCTCTGGAATCCTTGGGGCACTCTGAGCTTGGTTGTTTACCGATGTTTTATTACCCGACCAGATAAAGATAGTCTGTTCTAGCGGTACAGGCTTCTCTGCCCTTCGGTGGGATGGAGAAGGGGGTGGGGATTCAATGCAGAAGGAAAGGAGACAGGACACCTAACGATTGTCGTTATCTGGCCATTGAATGAAGCACAGGGCAAATGCCGCCGTAGCCAACGCTCTCTTTGTAAAAGATTTGGAAAGAAGGAGTACAGGCTACCCTCTTCTGCCGCTTTACCTTGTGCATACAAAGGGAGTCCGACTGAAGACTGTTTTGGAAAAAAGCGGGATTTTAACATTGAGAGAAAAATGGTTGAACTCGCATCAAAACGTTTCAGACAATCGCAGAAGGTCTCAGTAAACTATAGGTTTTAACGCGTTACAGTTCTTAATTGATATATTTGTAATCTCTCACAACCTACCTGCATCCTGTCTTCCTTTGCCTAGCCACTCCACATCTGATGAAGTGTGCTGCAGTTTACAAAAGCTTGTGCCTTTTAATCAAATGCGTTAATGGGGAAAGCTTCTGTTGTTTTTTGCCACCGTAGACTAACGCTGCTCTCCTTTTGCAGTGGAGGCCATGACTGAGGGTAGTAAATCTTTTCAAGGCTGTAAAGTCCTAAAACTGGTGGGATATCTGTGTAAATATGTATTAAAAGAGATTTCAAATTCTTCTAGCATGACATTCTTGTAACAAAACATTGCGCTATAAAGATCTTCCACTCTTCATCTTTTCTAATGTTTAATGTTTCATGCCTTTGCTGAGAAAGAAATGTAGGTAAAGCTACTAATAAAAATAAGAATTATTGTGTTTGCAGGCACTGGATGGAGAGTTAATGAATAGCCACATTAGGTTTTTCTCTTGGGAGTCAGCTCTTAGTCTCAAGTGTTTTACAGCTCAAATATAGTTGCATCTCCTATTTGACTTGGATTTACCTGGTTTGTTTCAAAAACAATTCTTGTGATCATTTGTTTGTGATTGGAAGCTCTGTTTCCAGTTACTATTTTACAGTGGGGTTGTCATCTGAATCATCCCTCCTTGCCCCTCCCCCCAAATGTTAGTGGGATTTGCCTTCTTTGCTTTTTATGTTAGCCTCTTTTTTTCTTATGTGTTTTAATAAAGGGACAAATATTCTGTTCTTTTTCTAAAATGTGGAAGGGGATTCTTGTCAGTGTTTATAGAAGGCCTATTACTTTTCCTCATAATCTGTTGACCAGCAACATTGAATGTAGTATGTTTTCATAGTATAGCCAATATTTTTGAAATTGTTTACTGAGGACTTTTTTATACAACAGAAGAAATTGCTGGAAGGTTAAAATTAAATGCACAGTTTGTTTATGATATTGCACCAATTAACACTCTTATAAGGTAGTTTGGTAAATTAATATTCAGATCACAGAAGATTAAAAGTCTTTACCCTGTGCTGATTAGGCCACTTTTGGAGGGCTGTGTCTAATAATGGATGTAACATTGTAGATACCCTTGTACTATGTCATTCATTGTGGATGACATACTGGAGCACATCCAGATGAAAGTAATCATGATTAAGAGTTTTGAGAAGTAACTCATATAAGAGTCTGTTGAAAGAGTATGTGTTTAGTTTGATAACGATCAAATGAAAAAATGTCTCTACATGTGAAATTATGATGCAGAAATGGCCTGACATTTGTTATATGGGGTATTAAATGGTAGGATTAGAGGCAGTCCACTGAAGCATCCAGATTTCAGCTAAATATTAGAAAATTCTGAAGGAGGTTTTGGAAGAGATGCAGACAACCCTCCCGACTTTTAAGATCATGACTGCAGTCAAAGAGTATTTATTAAATTTGCTTGCTGCCCATCTCACTGCAAGGCGACTCTGGATAAAAAGTGTCCTGAATCTACAACCCAGGATAATTTTCCTCCATCCAACCTAATTCTAGACAAGTGGTATAGAAATCACCTGAAACACATGACATCCATATCACTGATTGGTCAATTTAAATTTTGTTTCTTGTAAACTACTTCTACCTCCCAAGGAAACTCTGAATTGGATTATAGCAGGGGTGTCAAACTGCCGGCCCATGGGCCGGTTTCATCATGCTGAAGCCACGCCCACCCCATTGCCAGCATTGCAAAAAGAGTTGCAATATGTTGTGACACATCACATGATGTGGCAAGTTTGACACTCATGGATTAGGGTATCTTCAGGAGGCTAGCACAGAGTGAAAGCTAAATGTAGTCCTAGGGCAGGACTTTTCAACCAGTGGTACGGGTACCAACTGTGGTACATTGGCACCTGACAGGTGGTACGCGACCCACCCTAGAAAAGTAGCGGGGGAGGGGAATGAGCCAAACCGGCGCAGCACCGCACAAGCCTGAGTGAGAGACGGCTGGAGCTGCAGGGCTGTCAGGGCTCAGTGGAAGCGCCAGGATCAGAGCCAGGCTCCAGCTGGTGATCGGCGCTGAGCCCAGAAGAAGCACCGATCAGCTGGAATGTTGCAGCCTCTCCAGGGTCTTGTGATTTACATTCAGATGCTTGACAACCGATTCATATTTATGACGGTCACAGTGTACCAGTGTCATGTGAAGTGACCAAAACCTGCTGTAACCACCCACCAGACGGGGGGGGGGGAATAAAAACCAAACACCCCCCCACCTCACCCCCGCTGCCAATCCTCAACAGAAATGCTCACAACAATGGAGACCTCGGGCAGGAGGAAGAGCGCCACTGGGTGGGCAGGCAAGCATCTTGCTCGGCTGTGGCTTGGGGGACACTTTTTTCAGTGCCATTGTAACTTTGAACAGTCACTAAGTGAACTGTTGTAAGTCAAGGACTACCTGTACTTCATCACTTTTTTCTTTTTCTTTTTTTGTCATCAAGTTTTTGACCCCTTGCTAGGCGACTCGTGGTCCTCGGATATTGCCATACCCTAAAAGTGGTACAATGGGTGAAAAGGTTGAAAAGCTCTGTCCTAGGGTATTCTCAAATGTCAAGATTCCTAATAAGTAAATCAGTATTAATTAGTAAAGTTTTATTTTAAATGATAGCTGAACATTTTGGACCTTTTTCTTCTGGAATTTTTAATGTTCTATAATTGGCATTGAAGCTAATTTCACTATTCTGTATACGTGTGTGTGTGCGCGCGCTTAACCTTTGGAGGTGAAGTTGCTTGCATTCCCCCTCCTTCCAGGTTTTTACAGCTAGATTGTTTTGGAAGATGATTGCTTCCATTTCAGCAGAGATTTGAATAATTGGGGAGGTTGCCCTATGCGTTGCAGATTTTTCAATTGAGGAATGGGTTGGAATAGACGATCTCCAATATATGTTTTGTTTTATGATTTTATTTTGTTTTATGTTTTATTTATTGTTAACATATGTATTACAAATACTATAATTGACTATAATTGACCTAAACAAATATGCTTGTGCTGTTTTATTATGCTATCATGAGGCTGTAATCTGAGGCATAGGTACAATATAAATCCCACTGTAATGTACTATAATATTTTTCATAAATAGGATTTCAGATTGGATCACAGCCATATATTAATAAACATCGCTCATTAGTTTGATATTTGCAAAAACATGGATATTTGTGAGAGACTATTGGACATGTTCCTAAAATGTTTAGTGGCATACATGGATGGGGAAAAGCTTCCTTACCTACTGAAATGTAAAGATATGATTACTAGAGCCTACAGTCTGATATGGAAAAGAAGAATGAAATATGTATATTTATAAAATGTCATTTTCTGGCATGACATAGGTGCACCTTTATTTCTGAGTAGTTCGTAGGCTGAAATAATTTAATTTTTAGACAAAGGGAATCGTCTCTTTTTTGAGTTAAAATAGCTTAATTCCACCATGACAATTGCAATGTGGTCTTCATGGAGCTGCCCATAATGAGTGTCTTGAATTTCAATCCAAAAATCAGCGGGCAACCTTCTACATAGTGCACACTGCCAGGTGATATTAAAAGTCTTGCACAGATAGCAAGTTATTTTCTGGGCATAATTTAAGGGATTGTTTTTACTGCAAAACCTTAAATAGCTTGAAGTCTTGACTCTCTGAGGTATATTTTGCTATGAATGTGCTCGGTCATTAAAGACCATCCTCAAGTTGCCTCCAGTTTTTAAGTTTTTTTCTGTGATACATGGGAGGGGGGATGGCTTTTTCTGTGTTATTCCACCTCTTTGCAGTTGTACTCAGCTCCCGTATTTTTTACTTTTAGGAAAGAAATGCCAACTTTTCTCTTTATCAGCCTTTTTAATATTTAACTGATATTTATCAGTTTTTTCTTTGTTATTGTTAGTTATTTTGAGTGGGGCTATCATAGGCCTCAGATTTCATATAGGAAGTTCCAGTTCAAAGCACTGTCTTTGGATTTGTGTCAATACCTAGAGCAGGCATGTCAAACTCGCAATGTCAAGTGACATTGTGTGACATACCACGACTTTTTCCCCATTGCCGGCAATGGGTTGGGCGCGGTTTTATTGTGGTGCATCCGGCCCATGGGCCGGCAGTTATGCCCGACCTAGAAAATTCATCAAAGTAATCCACATTCCTTGTGGAATGCTCTGGGTCCCAATGTGTCAACTTTTATGTTTGCTTATATGTTCTGCTTATCTTATCAGAATTCTCTCTGTGGAGAAAGCAGTGAGAGGCTTCAACTGAGTGGCGTGGTTAAAAAAACAGGGCTACTTAAGGTAATGTATCTCAGGATTC